CAACAACTGCTGCACCCCAGTATTTTCGATATAGACGGATGACATCGGAAAACATGCAAACGCTCGTGCCTCTGATGTCAAACCTGAAACGTTCGCTCGCAGTTCGTTTGCATAAAACCGATGGGCGCATCCAGAAAATAACGGTTATCTTCGACGCACACACTATAGCAAGTATATGCAAACCGTTCACTCCATCAAGAGGCTAGTTTGCTGAGGAGAGATCGATGTAGTTATACAAAGCATCTACGCATCCTAAAGCTAATCAGCCGTTCTCAAATATGCATACACAGACACCACAGAAATACAATGAAGAATCATGCGAATAATTTAATTGGACGCTTTTATTGAATTACTCACCAAGTGATGTGTGAGCAGAATGTCCAGCCATGTACAACTGTATTCGTATTCTCCGACATATGCTGTGCATGATGTGACGATCTCCATACTCACTTCGGCAAATTTTGATCAAGGTTCCTATGGAAAACTGTGGATATACAAACTCCAGCAGACTGTACAAATCGTTCAAAGTTAGCACGCGTTTCAGCAAACTTAATAGGTTTGGATACCGTTCAGCTTCGTGGAGAGACACCCTTTCGATTGTATGTGGCTGTTGCAGATCCGAATCAACAATGCCAGTACTGCCGTAAAAAACTATTTCCTTCGAGGACTTTAGGAAAGCCGGAAATGTTTGGCTTCTCTGCACCAAATGTGGCACGTTTGAAAGATGGCTGCTGGTGTTAACATTTTTTGCTGCATTTTCTCTCCTGGTCCCTCTTGAATTCCTTAGAATCACTGTTTTCATTAAAAGGTGCACCAGCCATAATTCTATCTGTATTCCACCAAGGCCCCAAATATCTCGTGCTTTAAGTGTTTCACAGATTGATGTCATTGCTTGGCACGATTTGAGATCATCACAATTCTCCAAGAGGGTGTTATCTCCTTTAGTGCGCAATCGGTCACACAGAATCTGATAATATTTTGACAACAAAATATCCCCAGTTGTTGTACTAACATTCAAATTAATCGGGTTAGTAAGCTGAACGATTTGGGACTTATCATTGTCAGGGACTTGTTCCATAGACACTTCATTGTTGAGCTGTAGAAAAGTAATAAAAATTAAAGCGTTACGCGTGTTGAGAGTTCCAAACTTGAACGCTGCAAAGAACAGTATTATTTACTCCTCATCCTCATTCTTTCATAAATTAGATCCACAGAATTTTCTCATCAATCGGACGAGTAAGACACCAGAGAAAATTCTGCAAATTATTTCATCAGAAAAATATTATTCCAAAACCCATCAAACCGACTGGGCATCATGTACCATGTAGTTCTAATCGATCTGATATAGGACCGCTATTGCGACGCCAAACCTCGCCCAAATATCAACCCAAACACTTGTCGTGGGCAGCTGTGCACTCAAGACTGATGGCAATGCCCGTGCGAAAAGCTGCTTGAAAAAATGTCGTGACCAGCCTTATAAAGTTTTATATTAAACCAAACATCCTGTGAAGCAACTATACTAAATTTCCAACTCTGAATGTTACACAATTTTAAGTGTCCATGCAGCTTCGAAATTGTCATATGAGAAATGGGTAGACTTTTATTTTAGCAACTGATTAACTTTTACCTACCTGACGCGAACAGGTAACATTTAGAGACTAAGTTAATGGGACAAATTCAGTGAATTCGGTACATCTGGATAACCGTACTCACCCTCACTTACAAGGAAACACCAAAGTTAATTCTGAAAGAAGTGCGCTGGAGCATATCTCCAAGTGTCTGGAAGATTAGTAAACTGGAAGCCTAGAGCGTTGATTTGTAATAAGTTAAATACGTGAAGGAGTATCCCTTGGCTGAAGCTTATTGTAATTCAGAGTTACAAACAATGCCCTTGGCGGTTTACACGAACATGTGTGATGTTGTCATTCCATCAGAACAAGACCGATAAACCCACAACCCGTGGGAAAGCTGAATGTCTTAGACTCGAATTCAATCGAGAGAAGCGTTTGTACATCTTCATTTATGATGCATACCCCTAAGTTGTTTTTGCCTGAAGTCCTTTCAGGGAAAGAAATGAAGTTCGGCATGTTAACTCTATTGCATGGAGGCAAAACCAGGGTGAATTAGATTGGAAAATCAGCGACTGTTGTAAAGGTTCCCTATCTGTATACACTTATTGTACAGCTTTAATTACTTGTTGAATGCCTGCCAATAAAACGCACTACTCTTACTTATCAGAGTCAAAACCAAGGGAATGTAACAGTAATCTCGTGTTTGGTAATGAATTGTTGTCGCTTATTGATTTTGAGAGATGTTTTCAAATGCAAGAATTTTCCAGCGAACGAATCGGTAGAAGAAAAGCAACTTATTTCCTGCCTTTTACTTCAGTTTCATAAACTAACGATAAAGCAGTGTTTAAAGCAAGATTAATTTCAAGTTAACCTGAGTATGTTTAAAGGTACAAGGATTGTTTGGAAAGCAATTCATCCTCATGCATCAATGTCCGATTGTTGTGATATATTGTGGGACGTCTCTCCAATAAAAGACGTAAAAATTAGCTGCTTCAGTTCTAAATATTAACGCCTGGGAGCAAACCTGGTCTCGCAGATATAAGATAGTTAAGGAAAAATCAGACGATAGGAACCGATTTAGCAGATGATTCCGCTGAGAATGATGTGGTAGATTGCGATGAAAAAAGTCAAATGATAATAAGAAACTTTGCTTGTAAAGAGCTTCAACAATTATCTGGAGACTCCGGGTCTCTTCAGTTCCGTATGCTTTTATTAGGATGGGACGATGATGGAATAAGCATTGGATCAGAATCAATGACTACATAGGAGGATGTCAAACAGTTGATAGCCCAATGTTGGAAACACAAAGAAAACGATCACGTAAAAGCTCATTACCGCCAATAAAATCTAGGTGACATGACAGGCGAACAACCAATAAGCTCAGCCACAGTTGGACTTTTTTCCTTACTGAATTGGGCAACTGGTCAGTAGTTTCAAGCATCGGGGTACGGACAGAAACATCGCCGACCACTTTGTGTTGCTGGAAAAATTGTAAAGCTGATGTGAATTCCGATGTACTGCTAATTATATGATGGTTAGAAAACCTGGAATTATTCACAGGCGGTTTTGATATTATTTAAATGCACATCGGGTAAGTGTAGTCCTCGGATTAACGTTAATGATATTTTTTTACTTCAAAGTTGAATTAGACATATATGCAGTTAAGTACCGTGTTACAACCTGATTTGATGTTCATCTCATGGGTGGTGTAAAAACAAGAAACGTATTTCGGTGTCTCGAACATTATTCCAGCTGAACATTGGGTATCCCTTTTGCAAAGTCCTCATTATAACTGAGTTATCCAGCCCTAACGTAGTGAAGTTTCATGTTAAGACCACCCCAAGGTGCTAAGGATGGGGGTCACAATTTAACCAGTTGATGTCCAAAGCATTATGCTACTAATGAGAATTCAGAACCTCTTGTTAGGATAGGTTTTGTACCTCCAAGGAGTTTGGAGTCCATATGTGTTAATAATAATTGTTGCTCATCGTATAGTAAATGCCGTGCTCTGCTTGAAGCCAACTAATCACCAGTAGTCATATTGCTTCAGCAAGTTAACAGTCAGATAGCTCAATACTTCTCACCCGACTGACGTTGACCTATCAATCAGATATACGTTTTTAACACGAATTGAACCGATGGTAAAGCGTCCTGTGAAACGAGTACTGAATCTACTTTTCTGAACTTTAACTATAAAAACTAGCAAACAAAGTTATTCTAACGTGGCCATACAAACTGAATGGCACTGGACAGACAAATTGAGAAGGTTAGGATCTAAGCCGACTATCAGAAGGTACAATAATATGTGTGTATATTGAACTGCGCTTGGAAAAACTCACCATCAAGGGTTCAAAGTTGGGTGTTTTCTTATTTGATCGGTTGTGAGCATTTGTTCGTTGACTGCAGAACTTCCACCGAAACTTTGGAGAATGGCGCCCATTGGTTGAATACTTCATTGGTAGACAAACGGGATAAATGGATAGCTGCAGTTTACATCCCAGGTGGTTGTCCAGTAATATCATTGATGAATCGAGATTCTGAAGGCAGAAATACAGAAAGGATATCTCCCACCTTAGTATTCTCTAGTGATGTCTAAGCTAGTGAACCTCCTCAACTATATTGATGAATCGAGATTCTGAAGGCAGAAAAGCAGAAAGGATGTCTCCCACCAGCTTAGTATTCTCTAGTGATGTCGAAGCTAGTGAACCTCCTCAACTACCTTGGAGACCGACAGTACAGCGAGGACGGCCGTTTATACGGATGTACACATATGCCTTTATAATACCATTTATGTCTTAATTTTCCGGGTCAATCACGCAATCACATCTTGGCTAATAAACAGAATGTACCATACTACTCACCATCCTAGTGGTTTGCACAGCATCTGTTTTCCAGAGCTATTGAGGAGGTATGTTTTTAGCACTTTTCTAAGACATTTGTGCATCGTGAGTTGTTCATGAAATTACACATTTTGCCATACAGCATGGCATGAAAAATGTCGTATGGAGTAATGTTACGTAAGGTCGACTTACCCGTGGAGGCTACATTGGCATGGTGCCACAAGGATCAAGTGATTCATCATTTAGTCTGATCCACAAAATCTCGGGATACATACGTTCATGGCGTTTACTAAACAGCCAGAAGTGTTGGGACCTACTAACAACCTAGTACATAAATAGAAATGGCCTATGTATGGCAGTAAGATAAACAAACGTGTTGCAGACACTTTATCATGATACTTTAGCGCTGCTCATGTGGTTTATGATCGAAATTCGCTTTCTCTCATTTCCTTAGCCCTAGGTTGGTAGAACTTAACGGGGGGCTGAATGAACGAGTTAAACCGGTGGACGATGAGGCGTTATGAAATATAATTTAGCCAGAATGTTTTAATACACAAAAACGTGAGATACTGCAACCTGTGTATACGCATTATGTATAGCTGTTACGGAAGCGCATAAGCATGCTTGGAGAACTCACACCATACGCGTATCCATGGTCATGAAGATACTCCAATCCGATCGATATGTCAACAAGCATTGCGAATACTTGAGAAGGCGCCAGTAATGTATTGTGTTGATAAAGATCCTTCAGAGGGCGGTTGGATAGATCCTCATCTTCGTATTGCCCGAGAACCTTTGGTAGAGTAGAAGTTACTGACGTTTTTAAAGTGTCCGGTCTAAATAGTTCCTAGACACCTCCGAACAAGCCTGTCCGGACGGAGGTGCCATCCTCATAACAAAATTAAACTGACAAGCTTCGGTCTACCGGTAAATCGAACTTATAACTGTAGTCCGAAATACCATATGTTCTGAATCAGTCATTAGTCGAAAATTGAGGGAACTTGTGAAGAAAATTAATTCTCCAGAACATACAAGTTAGTTGAATCAGTGTAACACTGAATCCCAACTGGAATTTGACCTAAACGTGGCCACCTAATAATCTGGAACTGTTATCCCAGCTGGCATCATTCATGTTCATTTTACGTCTAGTTCTTCCAGCGTGTAACAGGATGTACCCACTACATTCTTTTATAAAATGCTTGTCTGTTTTGTTGTCCTCGATTACTAGATCCGTCTGTATGAAGTCACCAAGAATTTGGAAGGTTTATTTCGAACACAGTGGCTTCTGTAGGGGATAAAAATTAAACCGTATGCTCGGGACAAAAAGTTCAAAGACTTGTTCAACTAGTGGATTTGGACCGCTGATTGTTGTACTTGCATTCTTGAGCGGCTTTCTTGACCTCTGAAGTAAGCTAGAGGATAGTATTGGGATTTCTCACTCAACAAGAACGCTTGGACTTTGCATTTCACAAAATTGGATGCATGACTAAAATCTACGCAGTACCGACTGATAATGGCTTGTTAGATTGTACGTTTCTTGAGCCCCTAAACGTCACCGATTGCCCGAATACATAACAAAAGGTGTTGAAACCCCATTTCTTATCCTCGCAACCTCATCCAATTCTCCAGTATAGATCCTATAAATCCCACAAGCAGACCAAACACTCATGGCCATACGGCCAACTGTTTAAACGTGAAATCTCCTTGAATTCGATGGGAACTGTACTGGAAACGATAATCTATCGGATAAAACATCCTTGTAGTGCTTCTCGACTTTTCAGTATAAACTGACTTTAATTACAGGATAAAATCTCAGTTGAAAATTTGCAAAACTAACTCCTACCGATAAGCAACAACAAGGGTTCTCTGCGTACCACCTACCTTCATCAGCGGTGGAACTCGTGAAAGTTAACAGAAATTTTTGGTTGTGAAGAAAAGTATGCATTATTGGAGAGAAATATCATCTTGGGTCACCAGATCCAGTGTCACAACACCCTCCTTATACCTGGACATGTGCATTCAACGATGTCAACCTGGTGGAGGCAAAAACACTTAAAGTTGAAGAGCAATATGTGGAAAGTTTTGACCTAAGTGTAATCCAAGTTTATCACTCGTTTCAACTCTGTTGATTTCTAACCTTGCCCTTGGATCGCTAACAACCTACATATATGTGTGATGAGTAAACGGAAGAACGGCTCTAAGTATTCTCAGAGGACCCATTCATTCCTCCTAGTACGTGCAACATCCATGAAATCACATGCAAGCTAATGCGTGGAACACATATGGAATTCTGCTTAACACCGCATAACATGCTGCAATCCACTCTGAACGTAAGATTCAGGTGGCCTGGATGCGGGCATATTTTATCAACCAGATGTAGATGGGATGTATCAAAAACTGATCGGTACCACCACGTATGGTCGAGTGCGATATTCATTGAAAGCGAAGACGTTGATCATAAGGCTCAGTCTGATTTAATACTGATATGGAATTTGAGGAGCATTCAGTGCTTGTGGTTAATGCGGTGGCAAAACTTTCTGCGAGTAAAGTATTAGCTAGGAGAGCAAACTTGGGTATATTAATTGCATGGTGCATATTAACAAGATCTGGTCATCAGATAGCCAAATAGAATGCGTCATACTCCATCACGATACAATCATGATGAATTTGGCATATCTAAGAATCCTGAGACAGGGTCCGAAATTCAGATGGATATTGTGGTCTAAAAAGCAGTCAACCGAATGGAAAATGGGTGGATATTCTTGAAATCACTGCTCAAAAACTCATGGGTGTCATGTTATTGTTGCTAGCTTAATACAGAATCTTGCCAGAATATCAGGTATTTACCCCATATGTTGAGTGTTCGAGTACTTATTAGACAGATTTTTCCTATCGATTTGGATTGCCCTATCTAGCATTCTGCTGCATCGGGCTGCGCGATATTTTATAAGCCAAGCTGATTGGTTTTAATAAAGGACCCAAAAAACAGAACCCGGAAAATTGTGGAGTTTTTTTTACGGTAACTGTTGTTTATGACTAAACCAGAGAGTCTTGAGTATTGCACCCATCGAAAGATCAAACAAGTAATGGTTTATGTGACCTCATTTGATGAGTGTTGCACTCTGGCATGGCAGCTTAACGAATGAGCAATGCCGGGAGCGGTCACATAAGCCAAGTAAGTAAAACAAACATATCACGTCCAACGGAACGGCTTATTCATATGGCATCACAAAGTATAATCGCCTTACACATTCGTTTGTGTACACAATCATTAAGAATTTCTTCTCCACACTTTATTTACCTAAGACAAATTAGAACTGCTAAGCCTACCCAAATAACAAAACAGCGGACATTAATTTTGTCCCCCAGGTCAGTTTGTACAAACCAATTAAATCCAAAACATTAGTATCATAGTTTCGCTCTGATCCGCTCATTTCTCACAGACTATCTTGGAATTTATAATTTCCCATCTAATAAATTAACGCCCCAGTGGTTTTCTTGCCTCAGCCGCGCCAGAAAACGAATGATTTCCTCTGAGTTTTCCACTTTTCCACTAAATTTTGCTTCATTTTGTTGGTAGCTTAACAGCATATGAGGAAGTTCGGATCACTATGCTTGGTGATCATGAGACATCCGGCAGTCCTGATATTTAGAGAAAATGAATGCATGCAGATGAATAAAACAGACTTACATGTTTTATGTAGCTGTCCAGGTTACCAGCTGGAAGCCACTCAGTGACCAGAAAAGGTACTGAGTTTATTCCACATTGTTGCAACCAAATACCGTAGAACTGAACTACTCGGCAATGTCTGAGCTCACGTATCATTCGCAGATTTTGTATGAGATTACGTCGGTCGGTTGTAGCATCCGAATTTTGCATGCGCGTTCCAAAATTTTCCCCCTTTTGACAGAATTCAATTTTTTGTAAGCTCTGTAGTAGCACATGTTCTCCGTTAGTGACCTTTTGCGTGGTGGATTCTGGAGAACGATTTCCACATAGCTCATTGTGTAGTGTAATGCTCGAGGGTATAAATGCATCTTGAGTAGAGTCAAAAAAGGCGCTGGACAATGTCGGTTTCAAACAACACTGAACTAGGCCTGTGTAGTCGCTCTCCAACTCAGACAAAACTTTCCCATGTTTCACCGACAGTCGACCACGGAATGAAACGCAATCTTTTGCAACACCCACGTATACTGGTCCAAGATGATCTGTTGTAAAGCAAAACTATCACATTTTGATCAGCGTGAAGAGAGCGTATCTCGTCCTTAAAAAACACGGTTAGATGAGATTCCAGGATTCCAGTTGAACTAGTCGTGTCGTCTATCTGACGACTGCAGTTATACTTTGAAATTTGTCACGTGCAAGGCGTTTCATCAAACAAATTACCAGCAGCCGAGAGACATAGTGAGTGGGGTTATAAATTCATGATACTTAACCATGTGTAACATTTACAAGCGACTGAGACTGACATCATAGTTCTGGTAGGGATAGGCGGTGACTACTCGATATATACTCTCTAAAAGACGCACACATACAAGTGTTTTGGGTGATATTCTAGTGAGACCAAGTATGGTGGTTCGTTGTATTGGGAATTGGTGTGGGCAGTGAGGTCAATAGATTTATTGTGTTGCCGTGAGAAGGCCATTTGATGTGTTCAGACAAGCATGGCTTGTATGTTTTCCGCAAACCAAACGTGTCTATCAAGCCAGTTCACATTTTTGTAGATCAAGAAAACAGCCGATTCACCCGAGACAATAGACAAAATAGCACACATATTTCGTAGTTGGACGGAATTATCTGACTGGCTGTGCGAGTTCATGAAGTTTGTTAAATAAGCAAATAAGTCGCCTGTTGTAATCTGACTTACTTTCTCCAACTTTCTTGAAAACTTGCACAGCTTCCTCCGGAATAATGTGAAGATGTTTTGACCAGAAATCGCGACGTTGTTTCCTATCTGTAACAACAGGGAGAGCACTGAATGACATAACTTCTGCTATGACGAACGTCAGGTAAGCAACGCATTTTATTTTTTCTATAATGTTTGTAACATGCTTTGAGAATACCTGAAGAGAATGTGACGAATTATTGCAACGATGGATTAAAATACTGGGCATCCGGGTATTCTGTGCATGAGCCGGAGGATAAAATATTCAAGTTCCTTCCGTGTGATCGATAATGTACAAGCTTAGTGGTATTAACGTCTGGCTAATTGGGAGGGTCAAGCAAGTGATTAATTGCTGACAGTAATGGCCTTTGGTTGGTCAGACATCAGAGAAGACACTCGGAAGCTAACGGTTTGATGGAGGGTATTATTTGCTGGGTATCTTTTTGATCCAATAATGTATAATTATGTTTTCCGTTTTGAGGTTTTCAAAACCATCTCCTATCGGACTTAGCGCTACCTGTATTTCCCTTCGAAAATGCATCAAGTGGAGTGTGATGATGGCAACAAAATCAGGGCCATGTTTACGATTGGTCCATATAAGGAACCTCTGAGACCTTTGCCGACCAACACTTGGGCCAATACCATCCAAAATGAAGAAAGTCCTGGCGCTGAGAAGTTCTAAGGGTAAAACAATGACAAGAGGTTTTTTGTGATTTGACCTGACAGCACTTACTTGCGTCAGCTCTGATGGAGGTTTCAGGAACGTTTGAACGGTTCAGACATAAATACCACCGAAGGTTGGCAGGGAGTTTTGATCTGAAAGCATGCCGGAAAAAGGTTGGTCATTTTATGACAAGTTGATGGACACATATTTATTCCACCGTTTTAAGAGCTTCCGCGCCGTGCGCAAAATTACTTTTGATCGTGTTCATCAGTGAATTTCCGTGCAGTGATTCGCGGAAATATAAATTTTACTGCGGATAATGCGGTCAGAAGAGTTCATTCTTCGGTTTAATCTGGTCCGCATCATCCCGCTAAGCACTTGTCATCTGACAGCATTTAAGAGGCAGAGACTTGCAAAAAACTCGGATGCTCCGGAACAAAACGTGTCCATATTCCACTCACGACAAACTCTGTTCAAACAACAGAGCTAGTTGGCTATATTTTCCTTGCAGTCGGTGACCAGTTTACTGATGCTGCATGCAAACAGCAGTTTGTGCTTAGTTATTTTCATAATGCTCGGTTAAGTGCGTTTTGATCGATGAAAGCATGACCCACTTATCATCATGTGCGGTTGTTCTCTTTGGAGTGACTTTTTGCTCGGCCACATGTAAAGTACGGTGCAATTTTTCTTCTGTTTATTCCCTCCAGTCAACAACGTGGAATGTGGCAGAGCAAATTTCCAGGCAGTCAAGCTGGAATATACGTTTGTGCTAAGCAGATTGCTTACTCCGTGAGAACCAGTCATCTGATAAACTATTAGAAACAGCCCACAGCCTAGGCCCCCACAGTAATGGCAGTAAGTTGTTGAACAACTTTTGAGTTGTCGCTGTATATCTCAAGGCAATAACTCAGCTTACTGTCCGTCACAGGATTGGGTTTTATTCTATTTTGAGGAAAGAAATTACTCTACATTAAACTACCTCAGGTATTATCAAAGCAAGACTTTCCAGAGAACATTTTATTCGTGACCATGTTATCAACCATCTTTTTCCCACAACTTTTATATTTGGAATGAGTGCCTTGTAACCTACTTGCATTTCAAAATCAAAACTCCAAGAAGCCCCACCAGCAATAGTATGAAAACTCCAATGCCAAAGACCAGTCCGAATGAAGATGCTTTCACTGTGCTTCCGTTCACGGAATGGTGATCCTTGAGTCGACCGGGTTCCGTATAAGAATTTGAGAAATTCCCCTCCACAAGGAGTGTGCCGGTAAAATTGTTCCAGTATTCAGTGAATTGAGAAGGAGACTCCGTGTTCGGTTCAGTCAAAGCAGCGTTATTCTTTTGCTGAGCTGAAAAACAACATGAAAATTTGATGTCGGTGGAAAGATTTGGCAGAACAGAAAGCATAAAGCTGCTGTTATTAGGCTTTGCTTCAAGAAGTTCGGAGAGACATCAGGTAAATTTTCTACAAATGCATTCATTACAGTAGATTGTCAGAGTCATGAGTTCATCCTTAACAATAAAAAATAAACAAAAAAGTGAACCAGAAAAGTACAGATCATCAGGCTATCAGCAGCCGATTAAAAACTCGAAACATGCAGAAATGGTAATTCAGGACATTGTTTCCTGGCTGTCTGAAGTTAACTGGAGGACGAAAGCAATTCAGCTACCTTGCACTGAGTTTCGGGCTTCGGTATTCTAGTGCCTTGATAGAAATATTGCGCTTAGAAAAGACACAGACTATGACTTTTTGTTAACTTCAGTCCTGGTGGCTACCCGTGGGCTACGTTTAAATTTGTGAGATGAGGGTATATACGCCAAGCATTTCGCTGCCAATGGGTAGGTGAAAGAGCGATAGAACATATATCACCGTCACAGTTATCATAATGACCAATGTCCGTGTTGACAATGAAGCTCCATTTTCCAGACATTATCAGCACTAGAAAATGGACGGTTGAAAAGAACTTCACATGACCTCCTTGACAGCGTTGTCCTACATTAGCGTAAAGCTATAACAGCTACTGTAAAGCTGCCTACTGTAGCCGACGGATTACCAGACGCTCGCAACCCGAGGTAAGAAGGAACCGATTGGCGGGTCAGCTCATCATCTTTATTCGAATGGTTAGTCCTATTTTAATGTAGATAATGGGAAGTAGTTCTAGCATACAACCAAGAATGACTCTTGATGTGGTGGAGTTTGAAGCGCCAGGGGTGCCTGAGGCAAGCATGGGCATTGCAGCTAACAGTGATAAGTCACCAGAGAATCCGCTAATCCTCAAGGGTAAGTCAGTGATGAATTCGCTGGTAAACGAACGACCGACTAATTTTTTAATGAGAGCAGAGTCTTCGTCTATAATGTGCTTCTCCTTACCAACCGTGATGTATGAGGAGAGTAAGGCCCACTGGCTGGTTGCATCAAGCAGCATCGGATGTGGCACTGGGTCATTTGCAGTCGTCCCATTCATGATTTTACAGGGGTTGGTATACTGACGAGGTCTATAACGTCAGATAAGTGCGGTGTTCAGCCAAAGGCTTCGGACCAAATACCTACCTACTCGACAGTGGATGCTGGTATAACATAGCTGGTAAGAAGCAAGTCGTCATGAGTATTCCAGCCGGCAACCTGAAGGACCAGAAATGGGTATTTTTCAGACCCATATCCATTTGTATTAGAAGCTCTATGAGTGTCACAATTTGGCTTCTCATGAAAGCTCAGTGGAGCCTATAGGTGCACAAGCCATCACGTCCAACTGAAGCTCCTTATTTGAGTGATGTAGTGGAATGACTGGACAGAGTTGGCGGTAGAACGTCACCAGCCTGTGCTGAATTGTCGATGCTAAGTCTGCAGAGGCGGCACAGTAAGACCTCATCGGGACTTCCAGGACAGACTGAGGAATTCGATCATATCTACAGGAGTTTCGAAGTATTTGAGTTCTGGAGAAAAGGTGTAGGACCTCCTCTGCTTACTGGAGTCGTGGGATTCACGAGCGGGTGGTATGAGGCTGCATACGTGGTCCATTTGTGAATCCACATGGTTCCTCGGCTACATCTTTTGGAAATATTTACGCTAGCCAGTTGAGTGTCGGAATTTTGCCCGCAGTTCATAAGCGGTTGATCCTTTCGTAGTTTCTTATTTGCCGTCGATTTCCACTCCCTATGGACACCGGTATGATTGAAGCCTTGAATTCTTGTGAGAGACTGTATTTTCCTAGGTCCGTCAAAAAACGTCACCTTACTTTACTGGTTGGCCAGTTCGAGCACTTCGGCATGGACTTTATTTTCCAAATCCGTTTTAGGGCTCTAAAAACTGGTCTTCTCAAGTGGAATAGCAAAGTTCGTCTTCACGTGGTCTTAGTCTACAGTACCAGGATAGTCCACCTTAATGGTATATGGGCTCGCTGATGATGTTAAACCATGCACCTTTCAATTCACTAAACATATATCTGTCTACAAGTGCAATGTGCTGGAGGCTGTTTCTGACCAATGATAGACCAATAATAAACTCAACAAACTGCGACCAGCCTAGGTGACCATGATTCTCAATGCTGGATAATCCGTCTGGTAAGCTAGAGGTCACTAATATACTCTACTTCTGAGCATCTGACTTACCGTCCAGCTTTATACGTGGGTTTTACAATTCAAAATTTGTTGACCCCCTCTTACAACAATTTGTGGTCCGCGTGGCCTGTGTTTTACGAACGTACCTTGTTGAGACCGCCCCAACAATCATAACCTTTGTAGCATATATGAGTCTGGTGCATGAGCCTAGTGCAACTGCCATTGGTACTCACTGCCACTCCGCGTTTCATGCCGATCTACAAAGTGGCAAAATAAATTCTGCGGTGAAATAAGCTGACTAATTATAGTGATTCTGACTCACCCTATGTATAATATCTTATCACTGAAGTGCATGTTTTATAGGCGGTCTGCATGTCTGGATCTGGTCTTCGGGAAATCATCCTAAATTACTCACTATTATTTACAAGCATATACATAGTATGTGTCATGGTGCACGACATATTTCACTCACGTTCTATCCGTGAAAGATGAACTGGACTACTGAATGGTCCAACACCCTGGAAGTTCTGAGCCCTCACCTAAAAACGGATGCATATATTGACCAAGCGTGAGAAACTTAGTTCAACAGAGGCAGCTAATCTCTACGGATTTCGGTGGATGCTAATTTACTTCTAAAGGAGGTAGCAGTCGTCAGTGTTATGTGTGGGACACTTTTGAGTTCTTAAGTCAAGATGGATGCTAAAGTCAGAAATAATGTGCCGTGCCAATGGCATCCATGTACCTCACAAAGCCAGCGAAATTTATTAAGTGCGGTAAAATTCATCCGGGAATCATTTTCTTGAATTTCGGACCGTAATCTCAAAAATAGATCATACGAGACAGCAGCAGACTGCACAATACGGGGAACCCTTTGTTCTACCGAGGAACTAGGTTTGTGGAACATTGATTTCGGTAGCTTTCGAAGTTTCGCCTCCCGGATGTAGCATAGTTTGACGACAGTGCCTGATCTGCCAATTTACAGATTTCCAGCTCCCAGGTATCACAAGAACAAAGACGGCTGACAAACGAAGTAAGTACTAACAGTATGCCTCTATCCGTTTAGCAGTGAGCGGACTGGAGTCCGAACTCGGTCTACATTAGGACACTTACTGGAACACGGTACACAACGGCAACCATGTGCCAGATTGATGTAAATAGACGTAGGACATTTAAAAGCTACTGGAAATTGAAAGTGCCTGAATCGTGGAGGTGGTTAGTGCTGGAAAAGGATCCCTCTATTATTGCCAAGTGCCAAGTCTGGTCTTCCATGAGAATCACGAAAAGTTACTGTTAACTATCGAAATACTTACAAGCAATCATATTCGTAACAAATTTGATTTGGTGAGTTAAGCCAAACAAGCCAAACAAATGTACGGGTTGGTTGTTACTCACCTGAACCAGATACTCTTCATCAGCGCTCAAATTATGAACTGTTAACATTGCTTCCTTCGTAGTATGTACACTCAGCGGTTGCCTGACAAGCCCTGGGAAAGCTGATGCGGCTCCTTTTAGCTGTCTCTCTACGTTCTGGAAATTGAGGCCTGGGAGCAGGCAGATCTCAAATAATTTTGGATAGTTCTCTGAAGATGACGAGATTTCTCGAATACGGTAGCGTGAGGAGTTTGGATACAACCGTGTGACCTGGAAAGGTCTCCATTTCAAATTGACTTCGGTTCGTGAAATCCACCGGTATGCCAAATTTCTTATAAGAGTCGTTGGGGCTGAAGAAAGTAAACAGCTTATGGATTTATACCTTAGAATATATAACGTTTGTCAGGAATTAAACTGCAGATACTAATCAAATCGTTTTCATTCTAGTCATACTCTTAGCTAAGTGGTATAAATCGGAGTCATACTGCCGATATCCTTCTTCACTTTCAGAGGAGAGTAAACTTCTACCTGTTTATCAGTAAAACTACCAAGAAGTAAGTCGTGAGTTTAACGGCAATAAGGCCGTTCTACTGCTCAAATACCTGGTGCGAAACTATTTTTCTCCACTGAGGTCATGTGTACGCACCCGCGATCACGGTAGTTGTTTGTAGGTGGATGAAAGCTGGTTACTTCAACGGTAGGTGGAGTAACAATGCAACTGCAGGTTTCTGTTCATCCAAACTGTTACTCAGATTCGTAGTTTTTTAGTGACCAAAATCCCGTGCTAATCTCAACAGTCCTAAACCAGTGACATTTATGCCTTCGGATAAAACTCAATTGTGACACGCGCTGAAACTGATGCATCAAGAGACATGGTCAGCTAAGCGGAAGGCTCAAGGACAAGTTCATGGTATGCAGATGAAATTTCCAGTGGCTCTTCCAGTAATGTAGGTGTTGAGTGAATTCTGGTCACTAAACCGAAGCTAGCCCCTAAGTATGTTTTTGCTTTCTATCTAAACACAAGACTTACCGGGCCTCATTCAGACGCGAGCAAAGCTTATTTGTGAAACGTCTTAAGCTGCCACTAAGTTCGTGCATTAATCACCGCGTTGCGACCTGTTTACTTCAATGGGTTGCTGGATGCTTCTGTATAACCACGGATAACCTCCCTTCACGTATCAGTAGATGAATGGCTATTAATCACTGCATTCCAGTGCTTACCAAATTTTGTAGTGACTGAAATACTGGAAAAGCTCCTCCATAATGCGCCAGCCATTTGGGAAACGGCATTTCTAGCAAACACTGTAAAATGATAGCGGGTGTTGGGTTGTAGACCAGTGATTAGAAGTCTGAAACAGGGGAGAAAATTTGATGATCAAATTACCAAGGACGTCATTCAATACCCTGTTGATTTGAGAATAATTCGCACGTACGATATGTGGTCAAGTTTGAGCTACACAAAGACACCAGGGATGCTA